TATAATAGTAACATTAAATAGTATGATACATCCTTTGTATTGTCACATGATTGAGTACAATTAGAAAGTTTCCTTTTTATTCTTATTAAAGTTAGTATTATCGCAAGGAAGACAGGAAAATATAAGTATAATAAGTTGCAGTCTAACATAAATGCCTCTTTTTAGTCTCATATATAATATATAATATTTGTTAAACATTTACTATAAGTAAGCCCTAAGTCTGTGCAATGCTTACTTAAAAAGTTTCTGAAAAGACCGGGGACAGTCTTAAATACTTGAAAGTGAATGAAAACAATCGTTTAAATTATTCTTTTTAAATTCCTCCTCTTATGGAAAATAAATAGAAATGCATTTTTGTAAATTTTCATTTAATATAACTGAATGAGATTTTTTCGTTTTAATAGTAGATTAGTATATTTAAAATAAATATTTTCAAACATTTTACGTTATACATAATTTACCAGTATTGCACAGACTGGACGGATATTTCATTTATAAGAAAGTTGGCGAACGATCACGAAGAAAACTTTTGAAAATACTGATTAAAAGACCTCTTGATACCTAGAATAGACAAGGGCCGAACTACAATAGAGAGTGCAATCACAGCTTATTAAAACTCATTCGTACTTTCACATATTCTTACGTTTCTCAGGAAACAAAATTAAGTAATTAAAAAAATCATTTTCGACATATGCACATTCAGCTGCCGATTCATTAGATGCTAATAAAAATTAAGTCTTCATGCTATAAAACTGTATAATTAGCAGCACTTGGTTAAAAATATATTAACAAGATTTTTTCATGTGTAACATCTTACTGCTGCCTTCAATTCGTGCTAGAAATGTTTTTAAAACAACAATGTTTTTAACCAAATACTGCTACTCTTATAACAAACAATACTTCCTCTTTAGCATTATCAATACCTTTTGCAATCGTAATAATAAGTTAAATGTTTTCCTTTCTCTCGATCACATTCTCGCTTATAGTAGCAAAGACCTGGGCAATATTACACTCTTTCGTACACTCGTAACATCGTACGACGATTACAACTATAATAATTATTACGATTATGATAATAATATGACACCTATCTAACTGTCAAAAGTATATGACCTTTTCGTCAGTTTGTTGTTGTTGCTGCTGTTGCGGATGCTGTTGCTGTTGTACCTGCTGTTGATGATGGTGTGGATGATGATGATGTTGAGAGTGATGGTGGTGGGGGTGCGACTGAGTATCATTTCGCACTTTAAACTTGTCGGGCAATTTAGGATACGTGTGCGTCCGCGACGCTTTATTGTTATTATTACTTACCATGCCCATGACGCCCACAGTGGCCTGCTGCTGGACGTAGTGTTGCTGTTGGTGATTCGTTGGAAGAGTGGCCGAGCCGCTCGGCACTGCACCTCCTTGCATCATAGCCGGGCTCGAGCCCGTTCGACTATGTGAATGTGGCGTAGTAGGAGTCTAAAAAGTGCAATCCTTAAGAAATTTAAAAACCACCAATGTCATTTGTTTTAAATAGGAAAAGGGACAAACACGTTATGTGAAAAATACACATTTATTAATGTGTAACATCTTATCGCTCGCGTAACTGGAAGTAGGAAGAGAAAAAAGAAAAATATATAGCTGTTAACCGTTCGATCTGCTACCTTGGTCTTAGAAAACATATTGCCATAAAGATTACGTTGTGAAATCATTATTTTGCTAGTCATCGATATTAGATGTTACACATCATTACTGTAAGACGCAGTTTTGATTACCGAATCTCCAGACCCTGATGTAGGACTTCTGCTTCCGGAACCAAGTCTCTGATATCCAGAAGTGCTAGTCCTTCTAACTTTTTCGTCCTGACTCAATTTTAGTGGAAGCATCTGCTGAGGAGCACCGTTATTATTTAGCGGTTGCGGGGTAGATGTTGTATTAGATCCACCGCTACTTAACCTGGTGGCTAGTTTTAAGGGCAATTGCTGTTTAATCGCAATGCCCTGAGTGACCTTCTGTTGATTTGTGGCACTTATTAAATGTTGGGGCAACTGCGACTTTGAAGAGCCTATTAAAATGTTTCAAGATCATGTTAGAAAATATAAGAGAATAAATTGATACTTACTTTTGTTCCATTTCGAGTCTTTTCGCCTCTCTGTACCAGTAGCATAGACGTTATTGCTGCTAGAACAAGAACTGACTAGTGGCGAGCCATCTGATTGAGACGGACTTGTTTCTTCTGAACTCTGATTGCTGCTATCTTCATTTAGAGGTATCCCACTCCCATAACAATGGTCTGTGTCTTTAGTTGTTACTGGAATCGCTACATTGGGCGATATTAGCAAACCCTGACTTGTAAGAATCTCCATCTTCCTGTACAGTTGCTCTCTTTGTTGTGTAATATCAGACTGTTCGGCTTTGATTTGTTCCTGTTTACATAAATAATGTAACCGTTTTAAATATTTTAAATTTAGGATTAGCTCTTACATATAAAAGTGAGAAAACTATCAAATTTTCTAGGGTTCAAAAAGAGACCTGTATTAGCCAACTTATTTGTAATTATTTTGTATTTTTCTGAAAATTCCATTCCTATACTCACTTGAACTTTTAATAGTTCCTGTCGTTTTTCTTCCAATTCTTTTGCTTCTGTTTCACGTGCTGCTGCCCAAGCTGCTTTTTCTACACTTAACTTATCTTGTAAATTCCTCAATTCTTCCAGCTGCTGATTGTGTTTGTATTTACCTCCTTCTCCTTTAAGGGCTGCCAATTGAGCTTGCAAACTTGAAAAGAACCATACAATGAAAATTTCACTGCTTATAAATACTAAGTAGATGTTCCTTACCTATCATTAGTAGTCATCAGCTGTGAAATAATGCACAACAAAGTATAAACATAGTGTGAAAGTTGTACGGCAGCGTATTGTTGTTCTTTTCCTAAAGTAAGAAGTGTCGGTACATCAGGATGTGCTAAATGCTGGCCATCAGTTGGAGTAATTTCGCTGGTAAGAGACGAAGTTCCAGATATTTGACAGTGCCGCCAGGGCAATTTATCCTGAGAAAATATACATGTTTCTCAAGTGCACTGTTTGATTATAAAAGTACTATACATACAAAAAGTCGACTATCTCCCGGCTTTAACGGTTCCACTTCTGGAGTACATGCGGAATTTCCACCTGACGATTGCAACTTCTTATTTAGCAGCTTATTGGGAGGCTGCGAATTATCAAATCCTCCAAAAGTTTCTGCTCTTTTTGGCAATACAGGTGACACATACGTCTCACTTTGATGTTCACCTGCAGAACTCACACTCCGAGAAAGATTCGTTCCAGTTGTATACAATGAACTAGCAAGATGACTAACTTCCTAGAAAATACAGTAATATTTCTTATATAAGTCCTTTTAGAATTCGGGATAGGGTGAATCAAATTTAATTTTACTTATAATATAAATAACAAATTTCGTTAAAAAAGTAATCATTTATATATATAAGTACATATTGTATTTTTTTTACAGAATTAGAATCTGTAACCTACCTGTACTGCTGTCAATACTTCCTTCCACACTTGGCCAGTATCTACATTCTCTCCTACCAAGTGTCGATAAGAAGGTGGTGAAGGAGGCTCAAGACCAGCTGAAGCTAATAACTTCAACTGAAGTGACATTTTCTCTTCCAACAAAAGAGCTTGTTCTATGTCTTTCTGCCTTAGGAGACCTACAACGAAAATGGGTAAGTACTCCCTAATTATAAAAAAGTAGTTAATAAATTGAGAGAATTTAGATATTGATATTCGTTAGATAAATTTCAACACTAATGATTTTATTTTGATTTAATGTTATTCAATTTTCATTCATTTCTCGTAACTAAAACACAAAAAAATTTAGTAAATTATAGTAATCACTGAAAGATATTGAATATTTCAAGCATTCGTTGAGTTCTATTAATGAATAACTTCTTTGAATTCCCCCAATCATTACAAATATAAAAAAAACAATATTAAATAATTTATTTTCGAGTGCATTAATAAATTACTTGCTTTGTGAAATATATAAATTTTACGGGAAATGCAAAAAATGTGGTATAAGCAAAAATTAGGTGCGATAATAATTCTTATGCAGCAGGGCAACGAAATGATTTAAAAGTTAAAAAACTGCGCATCCCAAAAATTGTAAAATAAAATATGTTCCTCGAATCTTGTATTTATCAGATTCTAAATTAATTTTGTCTGGAGGGTTTAAAATTTCTTAATGTTTACATGATGCAAACCTGATACAACGAGATTCAGGAACAGCAGTTACTGCCAAAACTATTTTTCATGCAAATTTTTTAAACTTTTGAAATCGCAAACAGGATACGATAGTCGTCCAATCCGTTAATGGTAAATTACAAAATATATACACAAGAAAACTAGTGTAAAACATTTCATTAAGTGAAGCAGCATTCAAATGTTCATGCTTTGATATAAAATACGTCGAATTACCTTCAATATCCGTGTCTGAGTCTTACGGTTGTAATAGAAATGTGCATTAATGTTACGAAAACTTTTGTTCTCAATTTAATAATTTCATAATTTAATAATTTAGTCACAAAAAACTTTTTTATTACCGTTTACGTTACTTTAAAAAATGGGGTAAACATAAATAGTATCGACTTTTATTTCACTCACCAATTAGATGTTTGATTTGATTTTGTTTCGCATTAAGTTGTGCTTGTTTCTCTTCGGTTGATAATAAAAGAGAGTCTTCGTCCTCTTCTGGACAATTTTGAACTGCATTCCTTATTAAATGATAAATATTCGTTAGACAGTTAAACACAAAAGGTGAAGTAATTAATTGTACCTGATTGCTTGTATCCACACCTGCTTATCTTTTGGTTTATGAACTTTCAGTTCAAACATTTCAGGATCTGCAGGATTTGACGAGATTAAATAAATGCCACGAGATTCTTGACCAGCCTTTTCTCTCACTAATAGTTTTTGTAACGAAATTACACCAGCCTGAGCATGCAACAAAAAGAAATGAGTTATAANGTATGCCGAAACAATTATAAAGTTTTGTATTAAACTATAGTTTTTATTGTTTATTGTCTACTCAGTGGAGCGCTTTTTTATATTTGAACTAACTTTTTTCTGTCTCAATTGAGCTCAGGTGTCTTATCTAGATACTTGTTCAGAACGATCATAGGGTTTCCTTAGTTTCCGAACTTTTCTCATATCCTGTATCAAGTTATAGATAGTTTTAGACTTCCGCAAACGGTACTAAGTTTGCAAGCATTTAACGGTAGTTTCTAAATCAACATAAGTTTAGTTTGGCAATGTGACGAAATTTATAGTCAGAAATTAACTTCCCGAAAGTCTTAAACTTGTTATTAATAAGTTCGATTCACAAATTACATATAGGTAATTCACAGCATTTCCTAAGGAAAATTGTAAGGAAATGTATGTAGTAGATACTCATTTATTCTATGAATTTTCTCAGACTGTATGAATCCAACAACTATAAAGTATGTTTTTTTTACTTTTATTTTTCGACCCTAAAATTCTTTTGACAAAAAAATCATTAAACGAAATGTTGACTAAAAAAAGTTTCAAAAACTTTTACTATGCTGTAATTATTCGTTAATCTTTGCGATGTCTCTCCTTATAGAAATCAATCAATAATCATCTTTGTTTCTTTTTCTACCATATTCAAAATTAAAGATAGCTATATAAATAAAATTTTTACTTGAATCACCTACTTTTAAAGAAGAAAAGTAGAAACAGCTCCAATATACAAATCTGCTTCATTTCTCTAGCTGTTTACATCATTATGCGTAAATAAATAGCGAACACCACTTGCATTTTTCATATTCACAAAAATTTTGTAAGATAAAATTTTCAAAAAAAAAAAGTGATGTACACCCTGGAAAGTTTTCTCAACGAATGTTACTTTTAATCGCGCTTTTATTTACACCACTACCCACTTTCGAAAAAAGTGCGTCGAAAAAGTTTGCGAAAATTTGCGAAACGGTATTTTCCCGGACAATAACACCCCAACCTTTTGACGAAACGCGGCAAACTAGTTAATGTTATCAACTCCTTAAATTTCGCATTGGTTGATATTCTCGCGCATTTTCGAATGCGCCCGCACAAAGTTTTTGAATTGCGCATATCCCATATTCAAATCGTGATAGTAGTAATAGTTATATTTACGATGAAGGGTTGGTGATAGTGATAATTCGATACATTTGTTGGTAACACGTAAGGACAACGAAAATTCGACATTTGACATGACATTGACGTTCAAAATCGAAAATTGTTAATCTGATAGTACTTTTCGTTATTAACAAGCAATTAATATTCTCTTCTAATACAATTCTTATTATGCCGGCTGAAACTATTAAACGGCTTAAAGATCAATTATTGGTGGCTAGGAATGAAATCAACAATTTACGGTAACTTTTTTAAATAATGATGCTATTGAAACATAACCTTAATTTTCCACAATAGGTATACCTGAATTTTACTGAATGTAGTATTTGCTTTCCAGACAGCAACTAATATCCGTCAAACATGCTACAAATAAACAGCATGAAGAAATTCAAAAGAAATTAGAAAATTGGCAGTGCCAAGAATGTCGAAGAAGACAGAATTTATCAAATATTGTTGAAATGTCAAGAAATAGAAATGAAACAAAAGAATCTGTCCTTTGTCCATATATTGGCACTATGTACACTCATTTCCCCGAAAAAAGGGGTACACCAAGACAACCTGGAATTTGTTCTAACCTAGTTGCCAAGTTAGTTCTGAACAGCAATATATTTACCAATCCGGAGCATGCTCTTGATGGTTTACAAGAATATTCACACATGTGGATATTATTCCATTTTCATAAAAATGATTCCACCCACACAAGAGCTAAAGTAACCCCTCCAAGACTTAATGGACATCGTTTAGGTGTTTTTGCAACTAGATCTCCAAATAGACCAAGTCCAATTGGTTTATCACTTGTAAAAATTGACAGAATTATGGAAAATGTGATTTACTTTAGTGGTGTAGATATGATAGATCAAACTCCAGTTATAGACATCAAACCTTACATACCCCAGTATGATAGCCCTAATGTTAACATGCCCTTACCTTATTGTGATGAAAATTTGGTAGAAGAAAACTCAAATTCACCAGCACCAGACACATATTCTCTCTTTAATATATCAGCTGTAAATGATTCTCAACCTGATGAAAATGGAATATCTCAAGTTACTGAAGCATTAGATAATTTAAATGTCAGAGATATGGATGGAGAAGAGGATGAGGAAAGAAATAATGATATGGGAGGTCCTACATTAAATATTCGTCAGTCCTTTCCTGATTCAAGGTATATATTTTCCTACATTTAAATTCCTAAAATTTCGTTTATCTACTAACAAGTAGTGTAGTGTGTGTATTTTTATGTTATTTTTTTTTACAATTGTTATTTAATCTCTAATTGTTCTTTTTCTTATTGAAAATATATTTGTTTTAATTTAATGTTCATATTAAAAAGTTGCACATTTTAGTTACAATTTATGTTTCAGATCACTCATTAGAATGGGTGAACGTGAAGCACCTGATGGTGAAGAAGAAGAGTCAGAGCGACAAGCTTCTGGTGTTTCAATAACTTTTGGTACTAGTCCATCCTCAAGAGACATTCGAACACCAGCATGGATAAATAATCCTCCAGTGCCAATCTTAACAGTCTACTTTCGGGAAAGAGCTCTTTCTCAGTTACAACAAATGGGTGTAAAGGTAAAGTTTAATAGAATAAGTAAGCTTTTGTTTGTTTTCATTTATTCATTGCAAATCAAAAAAACAGAACCAAATGACTGACATAGTTAATATGTAACATATATTAAACTGTTTAACTTCATTTTAAGAACTAATTTACTTCATAAGACTTGATTATCTCTTGTTAAGTTCAAATTACTGTATGTACGCCGATAATGGCTCACAGTAATAATTATTCCTTGTTACTAAAAAGTTTACTGTTGTTCAATTTAATTGATGGTTTATATATTTGTAATTAATTAAAGGTGTTTGTTTTTTAGGGTGAGCAAAAGAAGGCAGTAATCGAAAATATATTAAAAGAGGATCCCCGGTCAGTTTATCTACGCGAAAGAATAGAAAATTCTAATTATGTATTTAGAATCGCAGAGTTGTACGTTTCTTGCAGATTCGATGACAGATCTCATACCGTAACTGTTTTCCAAGTTTTTCAAGAAAACGTTGTACAAAACGAACAATGATAAAGTTAGTAAGTATATTAAGATATTTACTTTACGCTACTCTTTTTTTTGTGATATTTATTTAGATTTATAAGATAAAAATAAAACAACAGCATGAATATTTAATTTATATTCTCATTTTACCTTGCCTTAAATTCGTATCATACTCGTAAACTACTTTGCTGAAACGATTTTTATTATTTTTTGAGAAAGATACCATCTGTTTTCTTTAAAGTAAATAAGAGACGATATTCTTTCTCCTTATTATTTTTCCAACTTAAGCTTGTTAAACTAGCTCAATGCAAGACAAACCAGTCAGTAAATAGGTAATAGTTTTCGCAAAATTTGGCACCATGTTATCTAGGTGTTTTTTTAATTTTTTATTTAACACTTTCATGGGAGAGGTTGATACCCATTACCACTTTTAGCCAATGGTAGGTACTTTTATTCATTAATCTTATTAGGATGAAATAATCAGCAAAAGTGGTTTTACAATTATTTATTGGCATGTATAGATAAAATTCAGTTAAAACATAATTCAACTCTTATTAAATTTAAATGCACTTATGTGTGTACTACAAATCTACTCGGTAATATAGAAATCGTTCTATTATACATCATTCGGAAAGACTTTGCAAATTTACTGTAATGTAAATTCAAATAAATATAATAAAAGTTCAATAGAACATAAATATACAGTACAAGTATAGATATAGTAAGTAGTGTATTGAAAAAATCGGGTTGGAACATTTAACATAATATTAACACACGCTACACTTCTCTAATCTAATTTATAGTTTATTATTATAAACCTACTCAACAATAATACTAGATTATATACAGAGAGTCCCAAAAAGTGTGCAAGTTGTAAACTTCATATTTCACATTTTCCTTTCAAAAATAGTCATTCAATTGGCACAGAATATATAATTATGCGTGGTTCAAATGGTGATCAAACTCAATAATTTATTTTAAACGGAATTTAACTTAATCCTGAAGTTCCTAGAAACATAGTTTTGATACGAGAAGGCATTATTGTTTTATTACAAAACAGATATACATTATTTTGTTTTGAAAAGCTCTTTAAAAAACAGCTGCTTCTAAAAATGAGTATATGAAATTTTATCATAACTTAAATTTAACTTGAGCAAACTAATGTACCGAATTTAATTAATTATTTTACTCACTTAGTTTAACGTAAGTTTTAAACAAAAATTGCTACAATCGCGAAATATATAAGTACCGTATAATATAAATATGAATTAAACATTATACATGGGTTTACATATTCAATGGTGTAAATATTGTATAAACATTTTAGTAGCAAATCGCTACTAATATATAACGTAATAATTTTCTTTCTTCTGACTAAATTTTTCATTACGAATTGGATCACCTTTTCACCTTTGCAAATTAATTAAATAATTCGGCGAAGGTTGACATCTTCCTGGATAGTTCAAAAATGTAGAGAAAAGTACCAAATTAAATAAAACGGGAATCTTAATTTCTATATAATACATATTCACATAGATATATTGCTTATAATTGATAATAATTTAAATCCTCAAGACGTCTCCTGTTATATAATTAAAGGGTATGTTTCACGTTTTTTTTTATATTGAAGTTATCGAAATTTATGTACATTGCATCGTTTTCTTTTTTAGACTGACAAAATATAAACTTATTTGAGTATTCATAATTCTCATTATTAAATATACAAGCTTTTCCAATTTCGGAAAAGTTATTTGAATGTATACACATTTTTAGGACACGCTGTACGCATATAAGTGGTACAGTATCACACAATTTATGATTTAGTAAGTGATTTCGAAAGACACTGTTAAAGGTAGGAGCATTTACTTGTCGCGTTCTCAATTCGCGCTATCAAACGAAAGAGAGAGTGAGAGAGAGATAGGAGCGACCAATCAGTCCCTTGTAAATGCTCCAGAATTTCTCATTATTACTTATAATTCTCATATTTACATAATTGAGATAAAATGACGAAACAACGCCAAGGATTAATCGATGAATATGATTGACAGTAACGATTAGAACGATGATTCGAAACTATCTAAGTTTTTTTACAAGTATTGTTTCCAAATTTACAGTCTACAGGAGTATAGTACTTAGAATAGTATTATTTATATAATAAGACGGCTCTTAATTTGGAAATTTTCAAATTTAATATTACACCCTTTGTGTTAACGTGGAAAATATAAGAAATGTCGCACTTGACGTTTATAAAAATTTAGGTAAATGTTTAAACTTGATAGTGAATGTCAGAAACGCTTACATGGTTTGCTAAAAAAAATACTTGCACATTTATTTTGCGCTAATAGCAAAAGTAAAATTTACCGTTTTCTTTGTATATTTCAAAGAGGTTGCGTAATAATAAATTCAAAAACTGCTGAAACGAAGA